ACCGAAAGTGTGAAAAACATCGGAAGGTAGACTGTGAATCATTGCGACACAGGTGCAGACATAGCGTTCGAAAGTCTCGCTTTGTTAGCGATCCCAACTGATCCAAACTTGAGTATGCATCGTCCTCTACACACATACTCAGGAGTCCCATGGCTACACCATGAAAAACCTCAACGGGGCTCAGCCGCAGATACCACACGTAATCGAAAGAACGTGAATAACACCATTGTCCTGAACTCCGGGTGGTTCTAGTAAGTATGTTTCGCAGAAACGTCTGGACGTGTAACTGCAACCTGAGTTTACATGCATCCTGTGGGGAAATCTCTTGAAGTGATAAAGAAGAGAACGCAGTTGACATGACCGGCTTCACTACAGGACGGATATGGTGTTTCGAAGAGTACAACGGGGTCAGGTCTGGATAACTTGCGTATTGCCAGGTTTTCGCTGCTTCAGCATATTCTGGAAGGAGTTCAAGCATCCTATCTTCTAATTCCGGAATTTCGGCTATATTCATGATGTGGTAGTGGATTTCGTTACTAACAGATCGAGTCCGGTGTAAAACGAGTAACACAATGAAAACACTGGCCTGACAAAAGCTTAGAAGTTGCTGGTAATGAATAGGGTGGTTTTGGGAGCCCATTAGCAGAAGATTGCAGTTTCGAATCCTGCCGTGGTCGCCATTTAGTCGATTCTCAGCAACGCTTTATTCGTGGTGGTTTGAACCATACAAATCAGTCGTCGCGCGCTTATATGCGCACGGATTTTAATTTTGACTGGTGACAAATATCCAATGTGAAGCTAAAGACAAAACAACTGTAGGCTTAAGTCAAAACATGTATAGAAGATGACTAAGCTATGGAAGGAAATTGAATGGTAGTTGACAAATGACTAATGTGAAATTATGGTAAATGAGAAATGTGAAATTATTTGGAATTTTATCGATCAGATAAACCAGTCAGGTTGCGGCTGGAGATGACTTCTTTTGGTGTACATGAAGGTGATGGGCGAGAGCCAGCTCCTGCTTATAGAGGAACATCTTGGGTATCTTCCGCCCTGGTACTCGTATCCACGTCCTCTGTCTGGGCTGCGAAAACTTTGCTGATATGTGACTCGGTCGAAATGTCTTTTTTTTGCCCCCCCCCCTGTATATGACACAGAAGCAATTGCGGGTACGTTTGCCGTTGGCATCGCGCCAATAACCGTCGTGGTAGATAAGGAATTTAAAGGCAGCGCCCGCGTTCAATTTGATGAGTTATGGGGCTCAGACAGTGACAACAAGGTAGCAAGTAGTTCATTAGTGAAGAAAAATGCAAAAAAAATCATCGGATATGCCCTATATAGGACCCCACGCCGAGCTGAGGTTGTACGTGCTTAAGGCGAAGAGAAGGCGCGGCCGCACGAGTTCTCACTTGTTGATATCAGCTGTTTCCCCTTATCACCTCACTCTCACCACACGACGTGGAGAGAAGCAGCAATGGAACACCATCAGGCAACCATTAGAAATGAAGTTGGGCGTAGTGGTCGCCAGGTGGGCGGGGTGGCCGACTCTTCACGAGCGGGCGCCGCTATTCTCTCGCATTTTTGAGTTGCGAAACTAGTACGTCCACCATCCTCATAGGGTGAGCTACGATATCCAGAGAGGGCGTGGGAACAACAAATGAACGCGGGCGCTGCCTTCAAGTAGGTGGTAAAACTCGCTTTTTTCTAGGTAGACGGGACTCTATGCAACTCTCTCAACATTTCTGAAGATCAACATCTGTACATGTATACAAGCTCACTGAAGGTGAACTACAGTAATCACACAGGTAAGATTTTGCAGGGAATCCGTTATTTAATATTCGAGTTTACTCTCTTTCTCACAGCGTTCGCCAGCTATCCGGGTTATAATGAATTCCGGAGTGAGGACGAAAAGAAACAAATGGTCAAGGTGGAGAGCACAGAACCGGACTCTGATCGGAAGTCATCACAAACGCAAACTGACCCCATAGAACGTCCCATGGCACGAAGAGCACTTCCAAGGTAATTGCTGTTTCAAAACTTTATGGCTTTTCTTAGACAACCCACAATCACTTGAAGGCTAAGTCCGCGATCATCCGCCATCACAGATAGTGGACTAGGGGTTTGCATATAGACGGCAAGGTGGTGAGTAATTAAATAGACGAAAAAAGCAATTTAAAGAAATGCTAACTGCCCTAAATAGAACCACAATAATCCCATTTTGTGCGTGCCCAATTAACTCCATCTCTCCATCTTAACACGCCTCATCTGCACAGGTTATTCTCTAATAAGAGCTCTACGACCGTGCAAGTGTCGATTTTCATGCTTTCTCGTCCTGCAGCTCTGGTTTTTCACTGGAAGGCGGACCTTCAAAGCGGAGTCTGGGGGCGGAGTCAGTGAAAAAAAAGGGCGCCACTAAATTTATATTTCGCTATAGCGCCCCCTTGCAATTTTTTACCGCGACATCGGTACAAGGTTATTTATCACGGACCACACTCCCCTCCCGGCGACATATTTTCAATCGCGGACCGTGGCTGCAAGAGCCTCGCACTCGAATCAACTTGCCTTTTTGTGACAGGCTTCTCCCTTTTTTCCCTTCTCCTTTTCCTTTTTTTAACCTTTCTCTTAAAATATTCAGCTTTATTGCTGTACAACCACTGCAATTGACTTTGCTTCCCATGCATGTAATAGGAGTGTAATCAGAGACTGAATTTTTTTATGGCTCGCCTCTTCTGGGACGTGAAAACGGGCTTAGGCTGCGTTTATACTTTGCGGCAGCGTAGCGTAGCGTAGCGCTTCCAGCGTACGCCAGCGGCAGTGCCGAAGAGAGGATGCATATCGATCTAGCTTCACCAGCGTCACCAGCGGCACGCTGGCGTACGCTAGCGTACGCGTACGCCAGCGTTTCTCCAGCGTTTCACCAGCGTTTTGCTAGCGTTTGCAGCGGCAGGGGAGTAGAGACTATGGGAGAGCTGGAGGGTACAAAACACATCGATTGCGCGTCTCTCACTCGCCCTTAGTCTCTACAATGCACATCGCTTCTGCGTCTCCGACGGCCACATAGTCTCTACAATGCACATCGCTTCTGCGTCTCCGACGGCCATATGTCTCTACAATACACGTCGATTCCGCTTCTCTCACGGCCACATAGTCTCTACTCCCCTGCCGCTGCAAGCGCTAGCAAAACGCTGGTGAAACGCTGGAGAAACGCTGGCGTACGCTAGCGTACGCCAGCGTGCCGCTGGTGACGCTGGTGAAGCTAGATCGATATGCATCCTCTCTTCGGCACTGCCGCTGGCGTACGCTGGAAGCGCTACGCTACGCTACGCTACGCTGCCGCAAAGTATAAACGCAGCCTTACTTGTATGCAAATGGCCACAGTTTCATAGTATAAGCAAAAAGGCATTCAAATGACATTGCGGATCTGAGTAGAAGTATGATGCATGGCGTGTCTGAGACCGAGCTTGATAAACCACGAAAACCTTGTGGCCTAGGAGTTCGATGGCGCCTAGGACTCCGAACGCAGTTTTTCGCTATCCATGGACTACAGCAGGGCTTATTCCTTTTGTAATTCCTGTCGATGGGACTCTTCAATCCGGACTGTACGATTAGCTCCGAAAATGCGATCCATTCCATGGTGGTAGGTAATTCCGATAGCGCTTCACTTTTCCTTTTTGAATATGCTGCGAAAATGTCTGCAGGGTAGATAATCCTCCACCTGTTTCCCGATTCCGCCGCACGTAGGCACAAGCGTAGCCAAATAGGCTCTGCATGCTTACACCCTCTCACCTCTAGTTGCTTCTGCTGCTGTTTGAATGGGTGGTCGCTGCGGGATCTTAGGCAGCGTTCAGACTTGTAGCGCTACAACTGTAGCGCTACGATCGTCGCGCTACGATCGTCGCGCTACAGCCGTCGCCTACATCGTTCGCCGCTACAATCGTCGCGCTACGATCGTCGCGCTACAGCTGTATCCAGCTTATTTTTCATATTTTTTCCTTTCATTCAATCCTTTTTTGCCATATTTATCTGATGCTGAGCTCTTTTCTACTTTACCGCATTTTTTACCACATTTTAATATAGTTTTGATACAGAGCACTATGATAATTTCAGAAAGTAGGTCATTCATAGAATAATATCGTAGAATATCAAATAATGTTCACAATTAAACGACGTCAGGCTGGTCACGCCTGTGTGTTGGCTTGCAACCTGTCCGTGAATGCCAAAAACAATTTCGTCATCAGGGTCAACGTGAGGCACCACTGCAAAACCTCAAGCAAAGCCATCAAACATTAGAAGCAACTCTGAAATAAAAATAAAATAATATAATAATAATAATAATAATAATAATAATAATAATAAAAACAGAAGAGAAAATAATTAAAGTCTAAAACGATAAATAAACCAATTATCACAGTGCTCTGTATCAAAAACTATATTAAAATGTGGTAAAAAATGCGGTAAAGTAGAAAAGAGCTCAGCATCAGATAAATATGGCCTCAAAAAGGATTGATGAAAGGAGAAAATATGAAATAAGGCTGGATCAGCTGTGCGCGAGCGATTCGTCAGCGCGACGATTGTAGCACTACACTGTAGCGGGGTCCCTTCGACGATCGTAGCGCTTACAAGTTGTCTTAGCGGCTTACAAGTCTGAACGCTGCCTTAGACGCAAGCGCTGACTTGAAACCTTGAAATTAGCGTGGGCGGAGCAGCGGCAAACAGCATCGAGCTATCACTATGCCTTATTCACACGTACCGTCGAGTGCACACTTCTACGGCTGCCAACATTTGACCTTGCACAACGCAACCACGGTATTCTAAATCGAGTGTACAGTACGTCTTTGCAGAATCACTTTTCTACAGGCGTAGATAGAGAAAAACCTCTTTGGCCTGAAAAGGAGGGCTTCAATGAGGAGGAGCAACGATTCCCTCACGTGCACATGTCCCCCCCCCACTCACTGCGGAATATGTCCCTTTCGGTTTCCCCCCAGGTTTTTCTACAATTGCAAAGAGCATGACAAAGAAGATCAATTGAAAATCCTCGATCTGGTACTCGTTATTCCCATGCAACTTCTCATCAGTTCAGCCTTCTCTCTCCTTTTACTGGTCTTTATATGAAATAGATAACTGTACTGAAATCTGTATGAACTGTACAGATTTCACAGTCCTATTAATCACTAAGGCTGTCGAGGTCTTCCATAATACCCCTTAAAGTTTTAATAGTCCTACTCAACTCTGAATCCTTCTAAAGGTCGACCTGACAGCGACAGTCATAGCTTCAAGTCCTTCTCAAACATCTACCTTACTACTATTTAGTTGTTACAGTTGTTCAGAATGACCTTTCAGAACAATTTCCATTTACGACTTCCCATCGATGAAAAACTCGACAGCTATTCCACACAAAGAAGAATCGAATGAATATGATCCGGTAGTGGGAACGTCTACAGATCTACACAAACCCGTTGTGGAATCGTGCTCACTTGAAATATGTGATTATATCCAGGACAAGAAAGCCTCACCAATACCGGTAGCCCTCGTGCATCCTCTACCAGCTTCTCCTACAGGTAAGACATATTCAGATGGCTCAGTGCGAAATAGTGAAGGAGCATCCGCCGGGTATCCGCCTGACAAGCCTTTTTGCAGCAAATCTAAATTTTCTAAAGAACGTGATGTGGCCCTCTTTCAGGAATCTGGGTCAGAAAGAAACCGAAAAGAAAGTTGGGTTCCGTCATGTTCAAGAATGAGTTCCTATTTCCGAGCAAAGAATTGGAGACTCCACAAAAAAGCCCGGTTTCCGATCGAAAAGACGCAATTGAACAGCTGATTTTGGTGGGTACATCGTTATACGGAATTATTGTAAATAATGCTTTGAATCAAAAGTTGTCCCAGAATCACAGGGCGCTACAAAAGTGGGCGCTAGCGCTGAAGAATTTAGTTATTGCCTTCTTTTCGACAACTGTTTCCGGGTATGAATGGCATCATTGGTGGAAAAGGCCGTCCTCAAGCGAGAAGACTTGATTATATCTTTCGTATCAGTCGTTTTCCACCACTTGGTTATCGCTCACCCTCGCTTACCACTTCAACGACTGGGGGGGGGGGGTGAGGGCTGTCCCCCCATCAAACCCAGCCCACCCCTGTCCACGCTCTACAGCGAGCAAGACTGTAATCACCCCTATAATTACGAGTTTGCTTGAAGCCGTGAATTTCACAGATACTTCTCGAAATTTAGTACCTTGAGATGTGGTAAATGTAGCGAGAGAAGCATAGTACTATCCAGTACGTATATAATAAGGTGCATTTATTTAGGAGTTGGTGAGCGATCCAATGGATGACGAAAAGTCTCCGGAAAAACTTATGAAGTGAGTTTCAGCTGTTGGGTTCTTTCCAATATTAGCCTAAAATCATAGATAAGAAGCGTCCATAGATAACGCAATCGGTGTTGTGCTAGAGAAATGAAATTTGACGTTTTGTATACGTTTTTTGCTATTACGTGTATAGTGTTTTTTCAGTGTTATATGTTTTGTATGTATATATATGTTTTATGCTACATGCTATAGTATTTATGTTTGTAACATGTATGATATGGTATTAATGTATGTATGTATATATGTTTTTTGTACATGTATGTATATACTGTTTTTGTTTGTTTTTGTTGTTTGTATGTTATATATGTTTTTTATTTATTGCGTTAACTTAGACGTTTTAGTTGTATATGTTTCTTTTAGATGACTGTTTTTCAATTCATGTTTCAACCGGTAAATTAGAACAGCCTCTTATCTATGGGATTTAGGGTAAGAGATGCTTAGGCTTTGGTGCACGTAGCATAGGGCAGACCGAGCCTACACTGAACATTTGCCTCGCTTGGTACAGTAAGGTATTAGGTTGTTTCGAAAGTAATGCCGAGACTCCCTTTGTGTTAGTTGAATTGTTCTAGAAAAAGACCAAAAATCATTTTGAATGTTTTTGGTGATCGCTGATGTAGACGAAACCCTGCCTCAGGGCGCTCCTGCACATGGGTATATTATGAATTTTGTGGAAGTTGTTCAAGACTTAGGAAGTCCCTCAGAAGGTCGAGGTGGACTTATCGAACTACCCCACATATTTATGAGTTCTGTGGGCCACTGGCGCCGATAGTCGAGGAAGCTAACACTTGCGTTGTCTTGAGGAAGGATATCGCCTTCCATCACGGCAGAAGGTAGCTCTTGCATCAGCGCTTCCAAGCTGGACTTATTCAACTCGTAGTTAGGCAATGTATAGGTCGCCCAACCAGCACAGAATGACGGCCCTTTACTCAAGCTTCTTGAGGCGCAGCCGAAGGTAACCACCAGTAAGTTGGCAACCTCTCTAGGCTCCACCTGGCTGACAACTGCCATGCTTCTCCGCATCTCGGTTAAAAAATTTCGTGAAGATGCCTAATTGGACCCGGTGTCTGACAAGTCATACCGAATGACCGTGACTGAGCTTTCTTTTCCTTGTACGCAGCGAAAGAACTTTTGTGAGATCTTGTGGTTGGTAGCGAGTGTTGAAGTTCCTTGCTAGCATCATCACATCGCCTTCGCAGGATCTCTTAAACAGAAAATAGATTTGCTTAGCCAAAAACAATGTGCTCGGGATAAAGATTTCACTGTGTTTATTGGTGGAACTTTTTTCTCTACTACTCGGCAATGCGAAGACCGCATGTGGGATCAGGCTACGCCAAAAGATCATGGATTTCGATCAGAGAATGCGACCGTACCCAGGTTATTTAACAAAGTTAGCAGCCTCTAATTACCACCTCCTTTGGTCCCTATCGCATCCTTTAAAAGCAAAAATTCCGAAAATCGACCTCAACTCGAGAATGAGGTCCACCTCTTCTTTTTATCATAGTTGCCGTAGTTCTATGAGAATGGAAATGAGAAGCTGTGCAAAAGAAGGGCACTAGTCCTAGTCATCAACTGCGGTTACCTTGTAGATTGGAGATGTCTTTTAGTGACAGGAAAATTTAGTCCGAAAAATTTGGTCAAAGTGTCGTCGGCTCGCAATTCAAGAGCGAAGAACTGAAACCAACCCCGGCGGACTCAACACTGGTTGTTTTCTTCCGAAATCGATCACCATCCGATCGCCCTTGGTGAAGTAAGGCAGCCGGAGGAGGGCTTAAACCTTCCACCTCACACCACCTCTGACTGATTTCCATGATACAAACTATACATCCCACACTTTCAGAGAGGGCAAAAAGAAAGGACCGCCGAGGAAGAGCCTATGCGACATTTAGCGCTTATCATTACGAGCTGCAGCCAAGGTTTGCTCAACTGGCATGCTAGTCTTTGCTCATCTTGTCGCGATGGGCAATGAACGATGCCAAAGCCCGATTTCCTAAGTGATCGCCCCCCCATACAGCTTTGATGTACAGCTGAGCATTTTTGTGAGCCTTTGAATGGGTCTATGTTCAGGCCATCACGACGTTCTCATTCGGAAACTCGAACAAACGTGGAACGGCCGAAATTGAAAGTGTCAGAAGATGACAGCCTACTTCACCGTCTCAAGCTGAACTATTTCAATTCACCTGACTATACTGTCGCCGAGTTACGGGAAATTAACTCCGACTGATGATCATTACCCATTCATCATGTTCTTATCGATTAGTAGCCATTCGTTACAACACTAGTCACCAAAACTATTAGGTATTACTTGATTGTGTTGTTAGAGTAGGCAAGCTTATTTACGTGTTCTCCATCGCAATAAAAATCGATGAAGTATCAATAGTTCCTGAGGTATTCTGCAGCGAATTCTTGGGATCACCGGAAATGAAATCCAGAAGATCCACAGTGCGGCGACGCAGATAAGGCGGCATGGCGAGTGGTGTCACGGCCTTCACAGCAGGGTCTAATTTATTTGTGGTGAAAGTACAAGTCGTCCTAAAGGCATACGGCACGGATTTGGTACTCTGTCTAAAATGCGAGTGGGGTGCTACAAAAAAAACGAAGTGAGGTCAAAATCTTTCGGCGAAAGACCTTCGTTCTCAATGACTTAAAAAGGAATACGGACGAGTTTCCCGCAGGTCTGGCCAAAAACGCTACGGGAGGATGGCCCCCCTCATCATTACGTACTGTCGGGCGGAGTCGGGGCATAGTTGTTTGGCGCCAGGGGCCAAAGTACGTTCCTGCAACCAGTGGTTAAAGCGGGCAAGTGGCATTACAGTACTACATCCTCCGTATTATCTCGTTTTTACTCCATTTATTTATATGTCGCATTACGCGAGGGGGTATCAACAAAAGGCTGAGAACGGAGCTTCACCAAGTAGTGCACACTCATACTGGCTGACACGCCCCACCGAGATCCGCAATGAAGAGGACTGTACTCATATATCCATGCAGCACCACGGCCGCTTCATACAATCCCTTCGCTTCATATTTTACTTAGCAAATGAATCCATTAGAGCGTCAGGAACGGTCGTCCATTTGTGGCGCAGTGAGCGTCCGGTTGGCATGCTGCAGCTTTATAGGACCTTATAAGAGTACTTTCGTTGGAAAAGGCGCCACGCAGCACCCGATCTGGGGCGCGGGATTCCGTTCTCAAAGGCGTACTAATCCTATTCGTCTTAGGGGTTTATCGTGCCAATCGTCTTCAAATATTATGTTAACCTATAAGAAACAGAATTTATTTCACTCGAAAATTCGCTTTTAGGATGAGAAGTTTTGCCATTGAGTTCCATACTGTTTGCAGAAAATTCCTTGCCCTATAGGATAATCCTCTCAGTTTTCTCAAAGATTCTGCTTCCACTAATTTTGACCTGCTCAAATTGGAGTGTCAGGTCGACGAAACATCATTTTCGACAGCTTCTAATTTTTACATCCAACGAAAAAAGAAAACAGCACAGGCCCATTCATCAAGTGAATGGCCGAGAAGCTACGTCCCTTAGAAATGCTTACAATGCCAGCATTCGTGGTAAGCGATCCATTTTCCATCGCCTGACTTCGGCCTTGCTTAAGTGAATTTTGATGAATACCGCGATCTCACGGGTGAAAACGGTGTGTCGCGGATGCGACCACATTTCCGGCTCTGTAGCGCAACGTTCAAAGCTGTTCGATATAGCGACTGACCGTCAAAGGAAACGAATTTAACTGAAAACTCGTAATGACTCGATTTTATAGCCCTTTAATTTTTTAGGGGGCGCCCTAAATAGCTGGAGCTAGCAAAATGAAGGAGTCGTCACGTTTTGCTTCTCGGTACAGCGGGTGTTTTGAAACCTTATGTTTTAGTAGTCGGATCTGTGGAAGTTTGACCCCCGGTCAAGAAGCGCCCAGGCGCCTCGCCTAGCAATTTCTCATGAGCTTCATGTTGTTACGTTAACACACAGGTGCTTTTTCAGAAAAGGGTTATAAATCTTGAGAAAATCCTTTTTCGGTGGCTTCCACATATCAATTCCATTAAATCAGCCATCAGGTTCTCCTCGTTACTCATGACTAGCTCAGTATCATTCGGTTATCAGTTTTCTTACTCGTGTTACTAATGGGCAGCATGTTTCATTAATTCGTGCTTAGCGAGCCTAGATAGTGCACCCTGGCCGACTTTTGGCCTCTCCAAACACTTCGGTGAACTGAGGCTTTGACAGGCGGTTCGAAGGCTTGTTCAGTGATTAACTGGTAAGTGCCCCATTCTATAAAGGTAGACGGGTTCGCAAGCGCAATGGTTGTACTATTTTCACCCTTCCAAATTGCGTAATCAGATACGCCAAATGCGTCGGTAGGCCTAACAGCGCCACCCATCAACATAAACCCACCCAGAAAAGTTTGACGTTATGTTCATATCTGTCTGGGTGTCTAGTGAGCCTTCTCTTCTATCTCTGGTCTTAACGCCCACGTTCGCAATAATTCCTCGCCTCCCGTTTCTACCATAGGGTAACGGCTGCGTATTCCCGTGCATACTTACCATTCTTACACATCTTCTCTGCCTCTTTTCTGTATGAGCCTTTGCA